AAACCCTTCAGAACGTTCTGCAGGAGAACTTGTTCTGAAGGTGCTGCGAGAGAACGTGTTCGGAAAGTTTTGAGGGAATACTCGTTTGGGAGGTCCTGAGGTGGGAGGTCCTGAGGAGGCAGTCGTCAAGAGTGAAAACCCTTCACAACGTTCTGCAGGAGAACTTGTTCGGAAGGTTCTGCGAGAGAACGTGTTCGGAAAGTTCTGAGGGAATACTCGCTTGTGAGGTCCTGAGGTGGGAGGTCCTGAGGAAGCAGTCGTCAAGAGTGAAAACCCTTCAGAAAGTTCTGCAGGAGAACTTGTTCGGAAGGTTCTGCGAGGGAACTTTTTCGGAACGTTCTGAGGGAATACTCTTTTGCGAGGTCCTCAGGTGGGAGGTCCTGAGGAAGCAGTCGTCAAGAGTGAAATTCGTTCAGAAAGTTCTGCAGAGGAACTTGGTCGGAAGGTTCTGCGAGAGAACGTTTTCGGAAAGTTCTGAGGGAATACTCGTTTGGGAGGTCCTGAGGTGGGAGGTCCTGAGGCAGCAGTCGTCAAGAGTGAAAACCCTTCAGATTGTTGTGCAGGAGAACGTGTTCGGAAGGTTCTGCGAGATAACGTTTTCGGAAGGTTCTGAGCGAATACTCGTTTGTGAGGTCCTGAGGTGGGAGGTCCTGAGGAAACAGTCGTCAAGAGTGAAAACCCTTCAGAAAGTTCTGAGGAAAACGTTGTTCGGAAGGCTCTGCGAGAGAAATTTTTCGGAACGTTCTGAGGGAATACTCGATTGTGAGGTCCTGAGGTGCGAGGTCCTGAGGAAGCAGTCGTCAAGAGTGAAAACCCTTCAGAAAGTTCTGCAGGAGAACTTGTTCGGAAGGTTCTGCGAGAGAACGTTTTCGGAACGTTCTGAGGGAATACTCGTTTGCGAGGTCCTCAGGTGGGAGGTCCTGAGGAAGCAGTCAAGAGTGAAAACCCTTCAGAACGTTCTGCAGGAGAACTTGTTCAGAAGGTGCTGCAAGAGAACGTGTTCGGAAAGTTCTGAGGGAATACTCGTTTGTGAGGTCCTGAGGTGCGAGGTCCTGAGGAAGCAGTCGTCAAGAGTGAAAACCCTTCAGAACGTTCTGCAGGAGAACTTGTTCGGAAGGTTCTGCGAGAGAACGTTTTCGGAAAGTTCTGAGGGAATACTCGTTTGCGAGGTCCTGAGGTGGGAGGTCCTGAGGAAGTAGTCGTCAAGAGTGAAATTCGTTCAGAAAGTTCTGCAGGGGAACTTGGTCGGAAGGTTCTGCGAGAGAACGTTTTCGGAAGGTTGTGAGATAATACTCGTTTGGGAGCTCCTGAGGTGGGAGGTCCTGAGGAAGCAGTCGTCAAGAGTGAAAACCCTTCAGAACGTTCTGCAGGAGAACTTGGTCGGAGGGTTCTGCGAGAGAACGTTTTCGGAAAGTTCTGAGGGAATACTCGTTTGCGAGGTCCTGAGGTGGGAGGTCCTGAGGAAGCAGTCGTCAAGAGTGAAAACCCTTCAGAACGTTCTGCAGGAGAACTTGGTCGGAGGGTTCTGCGAGAGAACGTTTTCGGAAAGTTCTGAGGGAATACTCGTTTGTGAGGTCCTGAGGTGGGAGGTCCTGAGGAAAGAGTGGTCAAGAGTGAAAACCCTTCAGAACGTTCTGCAGGAGAACTTGTTCTGAAGGTGCTGCGAGAGAACGTGTTCGGAAAGTTTTGAGGGAATACTCGTTTGGGAGGTCCTGAGGTGGGAGGTCCTGAGGAAGCAGTCGTCAA